AAAGGAAGTTCTGTGGTCTGATGGGACTGAATCGGAACATTTTGGCCGTCAGGCTGTGTTCAGCGAAGAGCTGAACTGCACATCACCACCAACTGGCCATCCCCAAAGCATGGTGGCGGCAGCATCATAATGTGGGAATGCTTCTGAAGGGTAAAATGAATGATGCAAATATAATCTTGGAGGACAATCTGCAGCTGTCTGCAAATGAACATCGGTTTGGGAGTGGATTTATTTTGCAGTAGAACTAGGCCTGTCACGATAACAAATTTTGCTGGGCGATTAATTGTCTCAGAATTTATTGCGATAAACGATAATATTGTTTGAAATTTGACACTAATTAGTATTTATTGTCAAATTTAAGAAGAAATGTACATAAATTTTCATGTGTAGTTCCTTTTTTGACCACTGATGGCAGTATAAGACAGTTTGAACTGAAGGATGGATAGTGAGGGAGCGAGCAGCGTGTCTCTAAGAAAAATGAGAGGGAGGCCTTTTGACGTGACATGAGCTATTACGCCAGATGTTTTTTCAGTTCTCAAAAATGGTTTGAGCTCTTTAGCATAGCATTTTTCACACAAAGCTTTTAATAAAAAATAAATAAAAAAAATCAGTAAACAAGCAGCTTCTTTCGTCAGAGAAAAACAACTTTTTACACAAAGGCACAAGTTTCAACCGTGAATTTTGGAGCTTTGACAAGACAGAGCTTTTTCCCAAGGTCGGCCTGTTAGCTTAGCTCGTAGCTTAACTGCTTTTAACGATCCAAAAACGCAATTTTGGATCGTTAAAATGGATTTAAAAGAGAAAAAAGAGAAAGCGAGGGGTCGGTGAAGAGCACCGGAGTTGAACCTTTTGTCATTCAGTGTCTTCACTAGAGAGAGACACGAAGAAACGATAAAGCTGATAAATGAAAATGAGGTCGATAATTTTCATTTATTATGTAATAAATTGACTTATGGTTTATTGCAACAGGCCTAAGTAGAACAATGACCTGAAGCATATTGCGGAAACTACAGGTGGATGTTCTGAAGTGGTCGCGACAGAACCCAGACTGAAATCCTGGAGGCTATGTGGCTCGACCTGATCGCCATGCAAGCAGACAGATTGAGCAGTTTGGAAAAAAGAAAAGACGGAGACTCATCCACACAGACGCAGTGCTCCGATTGCAGTCAGAGAGGGTCGTACTAAATACTGATATAAAGGGGTGAACATTTATACATTCTTTTTTTTTTTTACATTTCATATTTTATTTATCTGATATTTCTCTGTAGAAATGTGAGCACCGACATTGAAGAGTTTTTTTTTTTTT